GGACACAGAGATGGCAAATCTGAGTGCCTGAGACGGAGAGAGAAATCTTGATAGTGGAGCCAGTGTTGAGTCTTAAAGTTAGAGATAGTTAGCTGAGTCAGTTTTCTAAACCTACCCCAACAACAACGCAAAAAATCTCCTAGGGGCTTGTTAAAAAAGACAGTCTCAGGCTTCTTCCCCGGAAACTCCTGATGTAGAGCTTAGAGTTTTGCACTTTTAGCAAGTACCCCTGACAAATGTAGGAAGCAGGTGTTAGGAGGACGGAGCCAAAAACTCCCACGTGCTGATAGAAATAATGCTCAGGTCCCCGTGATGCTCCTCGTATCTGACACGTATCAGTCTATACCTGCCATGTCCTAAATGGCAGGAGTTTGAAAAACATACATTTTTCATGGTATCAAAACTATTTAGAAAAGTGGGAGGCTGAGGAAAATAAAAGAAAGAGAAAACAAAAAGCACCCATACGTAATCCCACCATCCGGATCTAATTGTTATCTGAAATTTTCGATAAATATTTGGCTTGTCTTTTCCTTTTGTTACACATACTGGCACACAGAATTGGAATAATACCGTACCTATTCTGCTTTTAAGAAAACTTACAATAATCTTAAATTAAAAGTAAAACTGAGAAGATGGTACCAGGAGTCCCCGCTGACCGCACACCAGCTTTCCCTGTTACTGCTGTACACCGGCAAGTGCATCTGCCTCGGCCAGTGTGCTGATCCTGACACGCTGTTGTGAACACAGCTCCACACTTTATTCAGAGTTCCTCACTTACTGTCTAATGTCCTGTTGTTCCAGGATCAAATCCAGGACACTGTATTACACTTAGTTATCGTGTCTCCTTAGGCTCCTCTTGGCTATTACAGTATCTCCGACTTTTGCTTTGAGGGTTTTGGGGGGGTGGTTCGGGGAGGGAGGGATAATTCAGTTTATTTACTTACTTATAATGGAGGTACCGGGGATGGAACCCAGGACCTCATGCGTGCCAAGCACGCACTCTACCCCTGAGCTATACCTACCCCACCTCAAACTTTTCTTGTTTTTGATGACCTTGACAAGTTTTGAGGACTGTTGGTCAATTTGTAGAATGTCCTTCAATTGGGATTTATCTGATGTTTTTCTCATTATCAGACTGGGATCGAAACACACACAGATCCCCAGAACTGACAGTTGTTACCATTTTGTGACATTTGACTCATTTTTTAAAAAGGAATAGAATTGAAATTAGAGTCCCTTTATTCAGCCTGCCTTTTACTGCCTCCCAGCCTCCCCCTGCCCCTGCTCATAGATGAAATTGTGTCTTAAATTTAGCGTGCAACCATCCATTTCTATTTTTCCCTTTTATATGTGTGGACACTCACACCCATATGACCGGGAAAATATGTGGTATTTGATGGTGTTATAAACTTTTTCCATGAAGGGTATCATATACGCATCATCCTGTAACTTGATTTTTTTCACTCGACGTTGTTTTTGAAAACACATATGTAATGTGAGGTGATGGATGTGATAATTAATTAAACGATGAGAATCCTTTCACAACATATACACTTGACAAATCACCACGATGTACACTATAAACATCTTACAATTTTGTCAGTTACACCTCAGTAAAGCTAAAAAAAAAAGGCATTACTTTTGAGAACCATTTATGTAGGTCTACAGAGAAGCTACCTAGCTTGCTCCTTTCTTTGAACTGCTGTATAGTATCTAGAGTTTGATATTCTATCCATTCTCTTCCTTCATATGCGTGCAAGAGACTCGCTAAAGTATGCGCTTAGACATAGAACTGCTGGACGGCAGGGTATGGGCCCTCGGTATGACATTACTACTTTGCACTCCAGAATCAATGTTTAAGTTTATTTCCTTATGTTCTGAACAAAAATCAGTATTCACAGACTTTCATCTTTTTTCCAAGTTTAGGCAAGTGAAATTAAACTCATTAGTATTTCATTTTGAATTTTCCGGGTTACTGGGGAACTTGAGCATCATCTCATATATTCATCAGCCATTTGGGTCCCTTAACTGTGACTTGCTTGTTCGTGTTTTTGCTCACTTTACTATTGGGTGGTATTTGCTGTTGTCATCCTAGTTGTTTTATTAACTTGGTAGCTTTTTTAAAAAATATATTTTGGGGATAATAATTTTTTCTTGTTGTATACATTGCAAAAGTATCGTTCTACTCTGTTGCGTGTCTTATAATGCCCCTATTGGTCATTCAGAAACTTACACTGTGACATGGTCAACATCAATCTTTTCCTGTATAATTTATGCTTTTTTATATGTTGCTTAAGAATATATGAAATATACTTCCATACCATAGTATCTTAAAAAATTTTCCCTATATTTTCTTCTAGTTGTTACAATTTTTGTTTTTAGTGGTTAAGTTTTTAATCTATAGGAAATTTCTTTTTGTTTTTCATGTAAGATGGAAACCTAATTTTTCTTTCTGTAGGGAGCCCAGCCACCCAGTCCATTTGATTGAGCAGTTCGTCCTTTTCCTCTCAGATCTGTAAAGCCAGCTCTATTAAATGACAAGTGTCCATACATGCAGTGACCTGCTTTGGAATTTCTAGTTGGTGCAACTGATCTTTCCAAGGTTGAGCACCACCAGTCTACTCCCACCCGCTCTCATATTGCAGATTGGGTGACTGAGTCTCAGAGAGGGGATGTTATCACATCCCACAGCTAAAAGAGTTGGAACAAGAGTGCAAACGAAGAATTTCTTAATCCATGATGCCCTCTGGGAGCTGACTGAGGTTGGCTATTCTCTCAGAATCTGCTGCACCATAGGGACTGCACAGGCAGAGGGCTCTGCTCGTATGACAGTCCTTGTGTGCCCCCTGGTGGGTTAAAGTGGTAAAGAGCCACCACCTTGGGCATTACTTAATAGGTAAAAGGGTGAGGGGCGGTACAGACCTTTCGATTGCCTTATCAACATGCTGCATGGAGGTTCATACAAGCCGACTGTTAGCTGGTGGCACTTCGCAGCATCCTTGTACTTGGACGGAAGAAAACACCACCTCAACACCAGAACACCACCACTCTGGAGTGGCATAGCGCCTGGCCTCCAAAGACTTGCTATACGATTGTAACTGTCATATAAAGCACTCCCCCATTTAAGAATTCTGGAGAAATATTTAAAATCTGATAGCACCTTTTATGAAGGCAGTAAGGTCTTGTGGCCCATCTCTAAGGCATTGGAGTCAAACACACCCGAGGATAAATTTTAGCTCCACAATTAATTAATCTTATAAACTTGGGTGAGCCACATGGCATCTTTAATCCTCAGTTTTACCATCTGTCAAATGGTCACCATAGTGCCTAATTCACACTGTTGTTGCAAAGGTTAAATGTATAGGCAGGGGTTGGGAAATAGCTCACTGGTGGAGTACATGCTTAGGATGCATGAGGTCCCAGGTTCAATCCCCAGTACCTCCATTAAAAAAAAAAAGTATATGCAAAGTGCTTGGTACCGTGCCTGCAATGAATGCCTTAAACCCCCTCCACCCTCATGCCCACCAATGGCTATCATTGCTATTACCGGAGGGGACCCACATTGGGTGCACTTTTGCCAGGCCTGGATGAAACTCTCAAACAGGAAAAGACCATGCTCAGTGCCATCTTAAATGATCTCTGCTTTGGCGTCTGTTTCCCCTCACCCCGCAGAGAGAAGCTTCAGCTCTCCGCTCTCCCCTCCACTGCAGCCTGCCACATAATCTTTCCCCCGGGAGAAGAATTTGGACCTCTGATCTTTGCTGCATCAAAATATTTTTGCATGTCACCATAGTCTCATCCGTGGGGTTATTCTCATGCGAAAAGGCTAGAAAATGAGAAGAAACCAGAAACAAGGAGTGATAGCTTTCCTGAAGGTGGAGGAAATGACCAGTTGGGTCAAAGGCTGTGACAGGTCAGGTAAGACGAGGACTGAGAATTGAGAATCAGATTTAGCCAACCTGAGGTCATTGATCACTTTGACCAAAGCAGTTTTGCTGTCGTGGTTTTGGTGAAATTCTGAGTGGAGTATGGAATTGGACACATCAGGCATCAACTTTTTGAGAACTTTTTCTGCAGAGAGGGGCAAAGAAATGGGGTGGTAGCTGGAGGGGGTAATGTCTCTTTTCTAATATGGGAGAGATAAGAGTGTATTTACAATGCTGATGGGAATAATCCAGCGTGGGGGGAAATTAACGGTGGAGGAGGAAGAAGGAAGAATTCCTACAGCAGCATCCTTGATAGGTCAGAGGGAGCAGGACTGGGTCCACTGGTGGAGAGCCCGCCCACTGGAGCTTAGATGCCATTTCTTTATGATAAGATGGTCAGGGTCTACGTGCACAGATGCCTTGAGGCGGGTAGATGGGCTGGGCGCCCATGCAAGTCATCCTTCTGACAGCATCTGTCCTTTCTGTGCCATAGGAAGCAATGTCACTCATGAGAGTGGGTGCTACTAAATGAAATAAAATTCCCTCGAGAACAAATGAAACGTCCATTTTTAGAAACGTAACTCAAAGAGTGATGGTGACGTGATCTAGCAGGTAAGAGCCTTTGCTGAAAACCCTTAAAGAATGAGGTTCACATGAAACAGCAACTGAAATTCAAGTCACAATAAACATGCAGACGATGCTCTGAATTTTCTTTATTTTCTAACAACTATTTAAACCACTCAACAAAATGCTCTATAACATTATTCAGAAAAACTTCTGCAAAATTTAGGGCGGAAATTAGACCCCACTCACCTACCATCAAAACATCATGCAAACAGTTACTTTCTTAGAAGATATTTAGTTTTGTGGTATTACTTACAGGTGATGGTACATTTTAATTCCGTAGACCAGAATGAGAATTTACCCCAAGGACATACCTCTAAAATAAAGCAATGTAGGGGGGAGGGTATAGCGCAGTGGTAGAGTGCATGCCTAGCACGTAGGAGGTCCTGGGTTCAATCCCCAGCACCTCCATTAAAGATAAATAATAGAAACTTAACTCCCCCCAAAATAAAATAAATAAAAATAAAATAAAATAAAGTAATGTACGTTTCTTTTGAACCATTTCACATTTAAGTTGTTTTGGCTTTTTTTTTTTTTTCCAGCAGTTAAAAGTCAACTCAGTCTCCTTCCGCGAGTCACAGCCTCCAGCTCCTGGCAGATTTGTACAAAGCACACCAACTGCTCCTCAGACTCCTCTTCTAAGGATGCCAGTGGTTCATGTCATCACAGGTAGAAGAGAGAACTGGCTAATTCCAGATTTGGTTCCTTATGAATGCTTTGTGCCACCAGGAAGGTCAGCTTGTGTGCGTACTGACACGGAGCCGGGACGCTGATTAGGCCCTGAGGAGGGGAAAGTATTGACGGTAATTAAGAGGATAACCTGCGCTTCAGAGTGATCTCTTCTCCTGAGATTTTTCATCCACTAGTTACCTGTACGACAGAAAGCGGCATCAGTCCTTAATAACTAAACCACCCAAGGGCAACCTTGTTCCCTGGGAACTTGCATTCACTGGGCAGGATGGGGGTGGGGAGGGCCAGTCTGGTTTCACTGTGCCAAGACCTGGGAGCCACACACTTAGGGCTCATCAAAGTTTCCTGTGATTTGATGTTCCAAGGGGCTCAGAGCAAATCTTGGCTTTGGACTTTGAGAGCATCTCTGGGCCTAATGTCCAGGAACACAGGACAGAGCCAGGTTGGTTACTTTCCCACCAGACACAACATCTGAGTTGGTTTCAACTTCCTCACCTGTAACTTGGAAATAGCAATGTCCTGGTTTCCTCCCAGGCTGCACTGGTGTAAGATAACGCATATAATAAAGTCTTCTAGAAATCATCAATGCCAATGCATTATTTTTTGTGGTGGGGGGAGTAATTAGGTTTATTTCTTTATTTATTCTTAATGGAGGTACTGGGGATTGAGCCCAGGACCTTGTGCATGCATGCTAAGCGTTCACTCTACCACTGAGCTATACCCTCCGGCGATTAATGCATTATAATAGTTATTGTTCTGGAGGGGAGGGTAGAGCTCAGTGGTAGGGCGCATGCTTAGCATGTACGAGGTCCTGGGTTCAAACCCCAGCACCTCCATTAAAAAATAAGTTATTATTTTCCGTCTATGGCAGACTGGGTTTCACCTGCTGTGGAATTAGGGAGTCATTCATTCATGCATCCCTCTGTGAAAAGCCAGGCATTGTGCCGGGGGTCAGGACGCAAAGGTGAATCAGGTGACAGTCCCTGGGTGGGCACCTGGAGTGCCAGACTGCACCCAGGTGAAGAGCTGCCACTCACCGGCCAGTTGTAGTACAGGTGGCACAGTTTGAACGTGAGTCTCTGCATGTGGTCGGGCTTCAGGCCGTTGTCATCGTAGATGACGTTGTAGTAGGTGGGGCTAACGGTTCCGCGACAGGCGGCCTGGCTGACCAGGTAGAAGTCATACCTGAGGGGGAACGGGAGGACTGTGAGGACGGAGGCACGGGGAAAGGGGCCGAGCCGGACTACGCGCAGGGACCGTTTTGCTAAAAGCGGATCTTCTAACAGACTTGCCATTCGGGCCGCGTTGCTTCCGAATCCACGATGGTGCCGAGGGGTGGGTTCTGCACAGTTCGGCCCGATTCCGTCAAGAACCGGGACAGGCACCTCTTCCTGACCACAATCACCGACAGTCTGGGGCTGGGAACCAGAGAGGCAAAAATACAAGATGGAGAGGGCGTAAACCAAGCCAGGCAGCCTCCCATTTAGGTATTTATCTTGGGGTAACTTTGAAATAAAAGAAAGTCATTAGCAAAACACAGAAAATAAAAATTATCCCCATCTCCCCTCCCCCAGAGAGACATACAATTTTTTAATTAATTTATTTTTAATTGAAGTATAGTGAGTTTACAATATTGTGTCAATTTCTGGTGTA